AGAACTGGTGATGGTACTCATCTACTTTGAGAAGCTGTTGAAGGCTCACATGTAAAACATGTCATGGAGATGCTCAAGGCATCTTAGCTATTTGTATATTATAAATAACAAAGGTTTCTGCACCCCTCCACTTCCGGTTTTCTGGTCATAAAGTGGAGATAAGAGTCTCCCAGACTTTCCTACCTGGGCTGGCTTTGAACCACCATCCTCATCCTCAGATCGCAGCCTCCTGAGTAGCTAGGATTACAGGTGTGAGCCACCAGAGCCTGGTTAGCTGCAGAAGATTTAACCCAAGGCATCAACTTAACCGAACCTTAGTGAGATTGCTCCAAGTAAGCAGTTAGCAAAGAAACAGTGCCTTTTGCAAAAAGAACTGAAACAGTAGGTCTTTATTTCATGAGTCAGGGGTGTTTCCTTTCACTGAGAAGCCCTGGGCTATTTTTAACTCAGGGAGCCTATAGAGGGGTATGCCTGGAGAGCCTCTGTCCTCTGCATACTCCCTGTAAACTAGAGGTCATCCCATGAGAAGGGATGGCAGGTTCAGAGAGCCTGTAATCAGACACTTACGCAGAAGCAAACTCCAAGGTGGATCGCCAGAGGATAGTGGGAAATGAGATAGGGACCTGTTTGCTGGAGCTAGGATACAATCAGAGGCCTAGACTTCAGAAACAAGGTAGACCCAGCGTCTGCTTCCCAGATCTCTGTTGAAGGTTGGATGAGTCACACACTGGCTTTGATGCTGCGCCACCTAGCAACCCCCATGTGGTTTTGTCCAGACTCAAAGATTAGCAAGAGAACTCACCTGGCTGATGGGCTCTCTGCCTGGCATGGCCCTCCCTACCTTTGTCACTGGTGAACTCATGCATTCTTTAAGACTCAGCTCAGTTGTCCTCTCTCCTCTGCTACTTAGTCTGGTGGATTTCATCTTGGCAATATTTGCTCTCTAGAGTTCGTTGATGGCACTAGTTACAGACCATTGTGGCATTGCATCATCTTGGCTTGCAATAGAAGCTTAGAAGTCTATAATAGACTGAAGTCTGAGTTTATGGCTCCTCCATTTCCTAGCTGAGTGGCCTGGAGAAGATTTATTGTCTGTGGAATGGGTTCTTAATTTACTTTCCAGTGTGTGTGTGTGTGTGTGTGTGTGTGTGTGTGTGTGTGTGTGTGTGTGTGTGTGTGTGTGTGTGTGTGTGTGTGTCAGTACTCGGGCTTGAACTGAGGACTTCTTGCTCTCACTTGGTGCAAGCACCTTTCTCAGTATCTAATTTCTATTAGGTATTCAGCAAGTATTGGATGAATGAGTACATTATACTTAATCGTGTATAATTAGATTAATTGAGTAGTCTGTTCATTCTATCATATTTATTGATGCACTCCCAACCATTTCTAAAAATCATTTCTCAAGTAGCTGGTATTCATTAAATATTGAGTGGGGAAAGAAATCTAAGGGAAAATAAAAAGCATCGAGAATAGCAAAGAGGCATACGATGGTACGTGCCTGTAATCTCAGCTAAGAGGCAAGAGGACCTTGAATCTGTATTCAAGGCCAGCCCTGCACCACAAGATGAGACCATACATAGAAGAAGAAGGAGAAGGAAAACATAAGGAGAGGGAGAAAAGGAAGAAAAAGGAAAGCAGACTCAGAGGTCTACTCCTCTGCCTGGGAACTCTGGCAGAGCAAGGGGCCATCCGCTTTGCTCTTCTAAGAGTGCCCCAGCTTCCTCCATGTTGCTCTCTACATGCTTGGTATATGATACGTCATCCTGTGACTGTAGATCACTCTAGTCTCACTTCTTTGCCTATTTATAGACGTGGCGGAGAGGCTGAGCTTTGTAGCCCCGTCATGCAGGTAGAGCTCTACGGCCCTGTGGATACAACGGTGAAGTAGAGAGGACAGGTATGCCCTGCCCAAGGTCAAGGTCATTGTGCTGGTCAATGTAAGAACACGGTGAACACTGGGCACACTGCTCAACTAGCATGCAAGGTGAGCCTGGTAAAAAAATTTGCCAGGGTCCTGCTGCCAACCTTTTTGGCTCTTACTGGACACCTGCTCATGTTGTCATCCTGGACAGGGATGGGATTTAAAAAGAAAAATCACAGGTGAAGCAAGAAAGTGAAGCAGTGAGCGGCCATCACCTTCAGACTGCACTGCAACATTCAAACGGCAACTAGTCCTCTGGCCCTCCTCATTGGGATCTACCATCACCAGGGCATGGCCACTCTCTGCTCTGCTCTGCCAGTTTCTCTTCTTGGCTCTTCTCCTCTTTCTCTGCTGCCTCTTGGATTCTATTTGGTGCCCCTCTGTTTCCTTTGAATCCCTCATGACCTATCTCTCCACCTCTCTAAGAGATCGCGTGTGATTGGTTTCCCATTCATCATCCACTATGCGAAGCAGCTAGGCGGGTAGCACCTTCTCCCAGCAGCTTATTGGCTGCCTTTGAATCAGCTGACTGTCTTTGGTCCTGGTGTCCCTGGTGAGAGTAGAAGATGCAACTGATGGGAGATTATAAGCTCTGTCTTGGTGAAAGCCAATTACATGTATATTACACGGAGAAGGAGAAGGACAAGGCTGTTTATCTGCAATATTTGTACCACCTGGATTTCTTTTTATTCAGCAAAACTGTGCATCCTTCTAAGCCCCAGCTATAATTCAAATTTCACCATATCCTACCTATAACAAGATGTAAGGTTTTCTGAGTCTCAGTGGTTAGAACTTGCTGAATTCCTTCATTTACCATGCATTACACTGAGTACCTTATTTATAACACAACTCATTTAAATTGTGTTAATTAAATTCATTATGGACCTCCTAAGTAAGCATCATTATCTCCTTTTTGTAAGCAAAGGATCTTTGGCACAAAGAGGATAACATTTCATATCTCACAGAGGAATTCCAGGAGGGGAAAGAATAGCAATTGCTAGTATTCTTAAGCCCTTTACACGTATTATCTAAGTTAATCCTTCCAAAATCCTATGACGATTCTTCAAGGGCAGTTATGACACTCATCTTAGTAGCTAAGTAACTTGCCCAAGTAACAAGTTACTTAGCTACTAATAAATGATAGAGGTAGCCTTCCACCTTCTAGATCTTTCTAACACCGAAGCCTGTATTCACCCAGCTCCTCATTTCCTTCCCAAATTTTATATTTCTCAATACCTAACCCTCCACTACCTTCACTATCTTCTTTATCACTGAGATAGACCCTTGTTAAGTAAAATAAATATATTAGATTAAACCCTTGTAAGTAAATGTATGTATATGTTTACTTCTATATATACTATATAATCTCATATATATATATATGATTAATTCTCCTTAATGATGCAACATTTAATGGGGTGGAATTTTTCAAATGGTTTTCTCATGTCAGTGATAAAATCTCTCAGGGCCTTATCAGCTGGATTTGCATACCAAACACGTCATTGCTAATGAAAGAGAAAAGAAAGAATGCCCCAGCCCTGGGGTGAGTCTGTGGAAGTGCAGAGTCCCCCGCCCTAGCTTGGTGCACCCTGACTCTCACTAGCAGGAGCTAGAGTCGGGAGCTGTGTGCACACGGCCTTTTGTCTATTCATGAATTATTCATTGAGGAGGCGCCAGAATTGGAGGAAAAAGCCTTTACCCTCACATGGAAAATAGATGTCGTTACACACCCAGCCTCCTCCCCTTCCCACCCCAGAGAGGGTCTGAGGCTGGTAGCCAGTGGTTTGAGTGGCTGGACTAGCCAAATAACCCTGGAAGGGGGAAAAGGGAGAGAGCACCTTCCACAGAACCTGATTTGCATGAGAAAGACCTAGTCAGCCATCTCCTGAGAACTTGGCTCCAGGTCAGGGGGAAACCCCACTGCCTGGGGGGAAGAAAGGGAAGCTGGGAAGAGTTGACAGAAACTCCCCAGGGATGCGGGGGGAGGGGTTAGTCTGGAAATAACTAGGCCTCCAGCAGGGCTCCAGGTTCAGCTGTGGCCTGCTAGCTCAGTAGCCTTCTGCTTTTAACTCAGCTCACCCCGGCTGTGTTCAAGCTGTGTGGGATGTTCAGAGCCACATAGATACATTTATGTCTCATATGGGCATGTTGTGTGCGTGATGTTGTTGTTGTTTGTCGGTCATGGGTCTTGAACTATGGGCCTGGGTACTGTCCCTGAGCACTTTCGTGCAAGGTGAGTGCTCTATCACTTGAGCCACTTGGTTTTCTGGTGGTTAATTGGAGATAAGAGTCTCACAGATGTTCCTGCCTGGCCGGCTCTGAATCGCAATCCTCACATCTCAGCCTCCTGAGAAAGATTACAGGTGTGAACCACCGGCACCTGGATTGTGGTTGTTTTTTTTATTCAGTAATTTTGTACTTTTGGGTGGCACAAGATTTGAACTCAGGGTCTTGTGTTTGCTAGACAAGCACTCTATCACTTGAATCACCTCTCCTATCCCTGAACCTATTTTGAGTGCCCCTCTAACTCACCTTTCAACACACACACACACACACACACAATTCTGTATGAGCTTTTATGTGCAGGTAAGTAGTACAGACCCGGAGGAAATGAATGTATGCAAAAGGAAGCGCTATTGCTAGGCACTGGTGGCTCACATCTGTCACCCTAGCTACTCAAGAGACTAAGATCTGAGGATTAAGATTCATATCCAGCCTGGGCAGGAAAATCTGTGAGACCCTTATCTCCAATTAACCAGCAAAAGGTTGGAAGTAGAGCTGTGGCTCAAGTGGTAAAGTGCTAGCCTTGCACAAAAGAGTTGAAGGACAACATCCAAGTCCTGAGTTGAAGCCCCACACAGGAAGGAAAGAAGGAAGGAAGGAAGGAAGGAAGGAAGGAAGGAAGGAAGGGGGGAGGGAGGGAGGGGGGAGGGAGGGAGGGAGGAGGGAGGGAGGGAGGACTATTAATTATTAGGAATTATTAATTGTCTCCCATTTGGGATACTCTGAATGAAGAAATGAAATGATGGCAAGAGAAGAAGATAAATGAGACGCTGCAAACTGCTGTACTGTCTTCCAGGTTTTACATCGAGAGTATATCCTTTCTAAAAGAGAAGAGCACGGTGGAGCTATTCTTCCTGAATGCCAAGGCCTGTGTACACAAGGTAGGAAAGCTTCTGCACATCTGTAGGGCTCTGCTCTGAAGCTTCTCTGCTCTCTGTAGAGTTCTCTCTCTGAAGCTTCTCTGTTGGATGCTGTGTGCTGCACATTCTACTAATTCTATTCATTTTCATCTTTTCTTTTTGATCCTCTCTGTCTTCCCATCCACACAGTCTAGAACCTTCTTGTAACAGTAGGTGGGAAGGTCATGGGTTCACTCTCTTGGATGATTAGCTGTTCTGTGTTTTGAAAACTCTTATATATCTTGTTGGATCTTTTAGGTTTGATTTTCTTTTTTTAATTTCAGATGAGTAAATACTGATTCAGTCCCTGCTCCTCCATCTTAGCCACACCAGAAGCAGAATATGTTGCTTATTCTAAGGAGAAAATAAATGTCTCAGGCACTAAGGCCTGCTCTTGAGCCCACTTTTTTGAGACCTGGGTTTCCCTCTGAACTCCAAGGGTTGATGGATGATTCTGTCAGAGCAACTGCAGCACTTTCTGAGTCAGGAAAACATTTCATCATCCACAGCCGGCCATCCTCTCCTCTGAGGGGGAACACAATAGCTCCTTGTGGTATTTTTTAGTAGGCCATGGTCCAACAAAATTGCTTCCTGGTTGCTTGTTTGCTCTGTTGCTTAGGCAAAGAAAGTTAGCAGGCAAATTTTTAACTCATAACTATTTCTCTTAGAGCTCTGTATGCTAAACTCTGGCTGGAGAAAATAATGAAAAGCAAGGCTTTTAACTTCTCTTTCTTCTTATGAGTGTTAGTTGTGGGGAACTCCTTTTCTAAACAGAAACATCTTGTGCCTGTGTCAAAAGAATTTATGCCAATTACTAGTGACTCATACCTGTAATCCTAGCTACTCAAGAGGCAGAGATCTGATGATTGACATTTGAAGCCAGCCCCAGGAAGGAAAGTTAGTAAGACTAAGATCTCCAATTAACTATCAGGAAAAAAGCTGGAAGTAGAGCAGTGGTTTAAGGCTAGAGCACTAATCTTGAACAAAAAAGCTTAGGGACAGTGTCCAGATCTTGACTTCAAGCTTCAGGACTGGCACAAAAAGGGGGGAAAATAGAATTTTGCCAAACAAATTTTGCAAAACATTATTTTTGTCCTACATAAGTGTCATAGGCAACAATGAGTGCTAATAAAAATTTTGAATTCAGTACTTGGAACTCAGGACTTTATATAGCCTATTTACTTAATATGTAGACAGCAGGCAACAGATCTTACAGAATCAGGTAAACCTTAACAGACGCAGACAGCTATTCATTAGGGCGGCTTTTAAGTCATTTTTAAAGATATACACATTCCATCTAAGGAGTATCATCTGCTCAAGCCCATAGTCCTAGCTACTTAGGAGGCTGAGATCTGAGGACTGGTTCAAAGCTAGCCCTGGCAAGAAAGACCATGAGACTTTCATTTCCAATTAACCACCTAAAACTGGGAAGTGGAGCTGCAGTTCAAAGTGGTAGCCTTGAGCGAAAGAGCTTGGGGACAGTGCTCAAGCCCCCATGACAGATTAAAACAAAACAAAATAGCCATATATATATATATATACACACACACACACACACACACACACACACACACACACACACACACACATATATAATCTGAACAATGGTCATAGAAGTAAATAAGTTTTATGAGAACATAGCTCAGCTGTAGAACACACGTAGGTGGATTTATTGATTGGTAAAAGTGACTCACTGATGGCAGTTGGTGCTCTTGACTCAGAACAACTATTAGCTGTGAGAGTGAACGGGGACCTTCCCCCCCCCCACTCTGCGGGGGACATGCCTACCTCCAGAAAATGTCCATCTCCTCTTATAGCCCCTATACCTGCTTCTTCCTAGCAGACAGATACCCCTCCTTCATCTTCTTTCTGCTTTTCTTTTTGTACTCAGGGCCTAGGCACTGTCCCTTAGCTTGAGACTGCCACTCTACCACTTGAGCCATAGCTCCACGTCTGGCTGTTTTCTGGTCAATAGGAGACAAGTGTCCTGGATTTTTTTTTTTTTCTGCACAGGTTGGCTTTGAACTGTGATTCTCCAATCTCAACTTCCTGAGTAGCTAGGATTAGGGACATTAGCCACCATCCTTAGGGACACCCTGCATCTTGATGGATGTTAATTGCCTGCCCCATGGAGAGGCATGTGGCATCTTGAATTTGGGCTCCCCGTCTCTCTCCATTGCGATCACTCTACCTGTCGATGCTCTTAGTCTGTGGTGCTTCATAGGGGCTCAGAGGGCTTCTCTAGGCCAGGCCTCAGGACAAGGCACCACTGCAGTGGCAATTGAGGAGTGCATTAGCATTCTTGCTTGAACAGAATCTACAGGAAAAGAAGAAACTGTCCCTAGTGACCAGCCATCCTGAGAGGAATCTGGCTCTTGTCAGAGCTGTCATTCACGTGTGAGCCCGAGCCGTGAACCTGTTTAGCTTCCCTGGTGAGAAGGCATGGGGCACACCTTGCCTTCGCAAACAACCACCTGGGCCAGATGGGGATGATGTGGAAATGCCGAAACTGACATTAGAGGCGCCCTGGCAGCCCTCACCCGGCAGCCCGGGGTCCACCGGGGTCAAACTGCTGTCACAGCACGTGGAATAGCACAGCAGGCCTGCCTGCTGGGGTGTACAGTTCATAGAGACTTCCTTGTACATCTCTGATTTTAGTGATCGGCCAGCATTTACCACCACCACTTTAAAAACATCAATCATTGGGGCCGGGCACCAGTGGCTCACACCTATCATCTTAGCTACTTAGGAGGCTGAGATCTGAGGATCATGGTTCAAAGCCAACCCAGGCAGGAAAATCCATGAGACTCTCATCTCCAATTAACCACCAGAAAACAAGAAGTAGCGCTGTGGCTCAAGTGATAGAGTACATGCCTTGAGCTGAAGAGCTCAGGGACAGAGTTTAAGCCTCATGTCCTACAACAACAACAACAAATCAATCATCGCAACAGAGAATTGACATTGGCCACCATTTTCCTTTTGGTGTGTACAAAATTCTGATGATGGTGAAAAGACAAAATGGAAACAAACAAGTGGGGCTGGTGCGGTGCTCTGTGGTAGAGACCAGGCACAGCACAGGCTCCCTTTCCTGCAGAGGTGGGAAATAGAAGAAAATGGCAGAACCTGATTGACTCCCAAAGGCCTGTGTGTTATAGCATGTACTTGAATGGGGATTGTGGAACACCAGCATATTCTCTCTCTCTCTTCTCTCGCTCTCTTCTTCCTTCCCTCCTTCCCTCTTTCCCTCCTTCCTTCTTTCCCTCTCCTATCCTTCCCTCTCTCTCTCCCTCCCTCTTTTCCTCTCTCCAGCGCCCTTCTCTCTCTCTCCTGTTCCCTTTCCTCTCTCTTCTCCTTTTCTCTCTCCTCATTCTCCCTCTTCTCTCTCTTCCACAAGTCCATCCATCTTTCCTGGCCATAAAGAGAGTAGTTTTACTCTGCGAGCCCAATCAGTCATAGACAAGAACCTCCAAAACCATGAGCTTAAATAAGCCCTTTCTCTTCATTATTTGATGGTCTCTGGTATTTTGTTATAGGTGTGGAAAGTTGACTAACATATAGCTCTATTCTACTGAGTGCTCACCAGTGTAGAAGATTTTACCCTCATAACAACTCATACTGTGATGTATTACTACTTTGGCATATGGGGAAAGGGAGGCATTGATATGTACAGCCAAGGTTGTATAGCTCAGTAGTAACATCATGATACTAGGCATTCAGGCTCCAGAAACCATTCATTTATTCAAATAATTACTGCATACCTAAAATACTCATCAGAGGTCCTGGAACTTTGTCTTATCATTGTACTATTTAACACACCTTCCTACAGTCTAAGAATCCTGGCTTATGGATTTTTAAACTTGTGTGTTTGTATATAATAATTATTTTAAAGGTAAAGCATCCATATTTTTGGGGTGGGGTCCGGTCGTGGGACCTGAGCTCTGGGCCTGGGCACTGTCCCTCAGCTCCTCAGCGCAAGGCTAGCGCTCTACCACTTGAGCCACAGCGCCACTTCTGGGTTTTTTTCTTTTTGCTTATGTGGTGCTGAGGAATCGAACCAGGGCCTCAGGCATACAAGGCAAGCACTCTACCACTGAGCCACCTTCCCAGCCCCAAGCATCCATATTCTAAGACATGATATTTCTGAAAGATGCCAGAGACCTTGGAGAGGCTGAGCCTCCCATGATTCTACCACTTACTCTTTCCCAAAATGACAGAAAAACAAGTGAGAACATTCTGCAATATGGGAAATCTCACAAACAGAATTATGGCTTTATAATCATTCACACACACACACACACAAATACTGTACTTTAGCTGTATAGAACCTATCTCATGATCACAAAGTATTTTAATGCCCCAAAGAGTATATACAGTATATACAATACCAAACTTTTTTTTTTTTTTGGTCGGTCGTGGGGCTTGAACCCTGGACTTGGGCACTGTCCCTGTGCTCTTCAGTTCAAGGCGAGTGCTCTACCGCGTGAGCTACAGTGCCACTTTCAAACTTTTTTTTTAAGGAGGAGGAAAAAAAAATAGCAATTTTTTTGGGGGGGGTCCGGTCGTGGGGCCTGAACTCTGGGCCTGGGCGCTGTTCCTCAGCTCTTCAGCTCAAGGCTAGCGCTCTACCACTTGAGCCACAGCACCACTTCCGGCTTTTTTCTTTTTGCTAATGTGGTGCTGAGGAATGGAACCCAGGGCCTCAGGCATGCAAGGCAAGCGCTCTACCACTGAGCCACCTTCCCAGCCCAAAAAATAGCAACTGTTATACCACTTTCATGGCACTAAATTCAGTGATAGATTCAGGAAGTCCCATAACAGGGCTAGGAATATGGCTCAAGTGGTAGAACATGAAGCCCTAAGTTCAAACCCTAGTGGTATTAGAGTAAGTAAAATGGTTTGATTTGTTTAACCTAATAATTATCAAACTTATCTGTGTATGAAACTCCTTCCAAGCCTTCATGTTAATGGACAACTAACCAACC